CTTAGTGTCCCTTTAGGGCCTGTTTGTTATACACAATTTTCAGAATATACATCACCTGTTGGAAGAGTTCGGTTATCAAAAGAGTGTGACTCAGCACTTTCCTTGTCTTCATTATCCGGACAATAGCAGCGTCAATCTGCAATAAATCAAGTGATAATACATATATTAGACTAAGCTCCACGTGATATCGTTTTCTTTCAGTGGACTGCTAAAAAGGAAGAGAATGTGAGAGTGAAGCAAAGCCAAACCTGATACTGACGGTCTTGAAATACTCTCTCAGTGGTGCTTGTATTCTCCTCAACTGTCTCTTTCATCTGGATTGCATTTACCTGCATTTTGAAAAGAAAAGTCAGCTCGATGCTTAATATTGTAAGTGGCAATCACTGAAGTCAAATTCAGTACAAAACCATTTTATGGTAATTTAGTGGAATCATAGAGATGAGAATAACAGTAGTTTCTTACAAATATTTAGCCACCTTCAGTTTGCAAATAGATGTACCTTTATACGATAGAGAGGAGCAGTAAATCCTTCATTGAAAACGAAAGAATCATCATCTTCGACGTCCCTCCCTTTCGGCAACTGCAGCACACAAATTCAAACATAAAAAGGAATGAAAAAGGAAAGATGTTGTCACTAACTTTGCCATCACAAAAGATATCATAATGGTAATTCCAATAATATAATGGCCATACCTTTTGCAGGACTCTTACTTTCCCACATTCAAGGGACTGCAAGGTCCTCCTCAACTCCTTATCCTCAATGCCAGTAGAGTCCTTAATGTCTTGAAAGCTAAGCTTTTCAGCATAGTTGAACAACATCAGAACTACAGTCTAGTGGTTAAAAGAAAAACCAGAAATATGTTAAACCTGTCTGCTTGAAGAGAAATTACAAAAAGAGATAAACCATTACTACAGGAGAAAAATGGCTCACGAGACACCAAAACATACTTGAAATAAGGATACTTGTTTATCCCAACTATACCATTTCATCCAACCATATTACGTTTTATGTACCAATAGAAAAGACAACAATACAAAGTTAAACCATAGCATTTGTTTATCCCAACTATACCATTTCATACCTTTCCAACCACAACATCCAGAGAAGGATAGTTCATCCATATGTTCTGAAACACTCAATGAGACCCAATCTTACAATATCCATCTAAAACTATTATGCCTTTTTTGCATAGGTTGTTACTTTGGAACCCACGAAAAATTGAATACGAAATTTTTTCTGCACATTTCAACTTGAATTTTATTAGAGTTACCTCTCACTCTCAATCATCCTTAAAAGACCGGTGACAGTTTTGTGCTCAACTTCCTGAGCCAGAGAAAGATGTTTACAGAAGAGTTGCAAGCCCGTGTCCCACAAAGAATGTACATTTGGGTTTTGTTTAACATATGTTCTGTCCAGGTACAAGGCTATACCCACGAATCATCAACATCTGATCACAAAGATCTTGCCAACATTTCTTAACAAGTGATAAGAAAACCACCAGGTTAGGGCTTTGCCCAACCAAAGATCTTAATGCCGCAGATATATGTTCTTCACACACTTTTTCAACTCGTTGATACAGACTTCCTCCCATCTTGTGCAGGCAAAGATCATTGACAGCCTGAAGGGAGAAAACCCAATTATCAAGGGTCAATATTGCTCACACTGCAAATGGCTACATAATCAAAATAAAGAGAAAGGGGAAAAAGTGAGACACCTGATAAAGCTTCTCCAGGTCACAAGGATCTGGTTGCTTCAGAAATATAGCATTAATGGCCGACTTCAGTTTTGCCCATGTTTCCTCCTCAAAAATTGTAGGCAATGTCAGTTTTGCTACATAGAACCTGTAACCCCCCTCAAACCGATGCGGATAACCCGATCCGATCTGGAGTGTCACATTAGGGCCACCGGAGTGACCCACTGTAAAAATCTCAGAAAATTTAAAACTTTTATTAAAACATGTAACTAACAAATTGATTTATCATTGTTCGGAAATAAAACATGTTTTCATACTCGTATATAAAACAAAATACAATTACATGCCCCCTAATCACATGTACCATACTTTGTAAGCAACGCCGGAAAAACTCCCTTATTGATATAGATAGCTGCACTGATACAATTCTTTTAACCTGCAATGATGAGTAATAGAGTGAGCTTCGGAAAGCTCAGTAATACAGAACTACCTGATGATGCTAAAGGACATGCAGATAAATGGAAAGTCATAATTTTTTTATTGAATCAGACGTATACAAATTTTCAGAATAATCTGAGGTTCCACTGGTAGTTCATCGAATAGAATCTATGAATATCTCAGTTCATAGGAAGCATTCATAGTATCACGTTTTTAGGATATCGAATAGGATGTCTAGTGTGTTCCAACAATACAATAAAATCATAATAGGTACAATAGACAAATCATAGTCCAGTAAATCTCATAAATTCATAAAGAGTTTAACTTTTGAAAATTATAGTTTAAACTCTTTTCTTGTACACCATCAGTAATTTCCAATATTATTTTCCATATAGCTTACTCTAAGACACAGCAAAAAGAAAGCCAACCTAAGGATAAACTTTAGAGCTTGTATCCTTAAGCCCATAAGTCCAAGTTCATATAGCTTACCCTAAGCACATAGCAAGGGAAGTCAACCTAATGTATCTTGGGGCCCCAAGAGTCACATTAGGCTCATTCTGTTTATTATCTTGATCAGAGCTATACTATTGTAATTCAATCCAAAAGTTCAATTGCACCCTGATACAAATTCCATAAATCATCACATTAGATTGGTGCACCAATAAAACAGTAACCAAAGAACTCAGTGTACCTCATATTAAAACCAATAAAACAGTTCAGTAATAATTAGGGAACACACTAGAGGATCCAAGTATTTTTCAGAGGCATTTTGTAATTATCGGTAAGGATAACATGAAGCTCGTGCAATTTGATCGGATTCTAAGAACAAGGTCTTATCGGAGAGAATCGATTATTAACCGATCTAATCAGACATTTAAAGTTGATACTTTAGAATTCCACTATGATTCATGTGCATCAGGTAAGCGTTCCAGAATGCCCAGAGTGATTTGAGCTAATAAAGGAGAAACGAAGCTTCAAGACATTTACAATCCATGTTAATCGATCGGTTTATCGAACAATTCGAACTGAACAAGCTCTCTGAACTAATGCATGTTGACCCGTCAATTTACTGCTTTTTCAGAGTATTTACTCTTTAATACCAAAATTCTTGTCCATAAATCATCTTCGTAATCATCGCTGAATAGATCTTCCAATAGTCTTTATTTCATTTCCATATTTCAACGATATCAGGAAATACATACGTAATTGATTCATGTTTTATGACCCATAAGGATAATTCATCATGTAAGTTCAACAGTGTTCCCAAACTCATCAAATCACCTATTTAATCTTCAGTCATTGAGGTTACTCAGTTCGTTTATCAGTCAAGTCTATCCCGATTACTTCAGAGCTTTCCAGATAATCCAGACGTTTCTGAATTTCATTTATATATTGTACTTCCGTTTATTGGTCTTCGTGGTTGATTTGTCTAACAAATATTCATTTCTTATTATCGAATGCGACCTAGAGTTGAGTTGAGTACTTTCAAAATTATCATTGAACCACACTTGAGAAGACGAACACGCATTCAAGTAACATCTATACATTTCACGTACTGACATATACACTAGCATTGATTGCTCGGCTTTAATATGTGATCCATAACTTTTAAGAGCAATACCATATCCAAGTTTATTTGGATTCCTTAATTAATCCAACACTTCTACTAATTTTAGGTCATAAGGGTATTTTGGTCATTCTGGTGCCCAGTTTTATTCTATTCTTTTCAGAGCTCGAGGATATCCAATCATTCCTGAGCTTGGTAATATTCTTGAGTCTTTTTCATTACAGGGGTATTCTGATCATTTTACAGATCCGGTGTATTTCAATTCTTTCCTTCAATTCTGTCTTATTATTTAATTCCAACTTATCATTTATTCCAGACCTTTCAAATAATTCTTACAAAAGAGCACCCTCGATAATTTATTCTTAACTCGAAGATTTTCAGATCGATTGTCTTCTCAGATGTTACCAATAGGTTATCAGAAATTTTATGTACAAAGACAGGATCTTAACAATTAAATACGTAATTCATTGAGTTAAGTACAAATCCTCTAAGAACTTTCTCATTCAGGGTCAACTCGAGCTATTTTTTACCTTTCAAGGGCATTTTCGTAATTTTTTAACCAGATGATTTTGGTATTAACTCTTAACGAGCATACTTATAATTTAAAGATCCTATGGTTAGTTGTTTCCTCGAACATTCTCTGATCTTGAAATGATTCCTTAACACTTTTATCTTGCAAAATCCCTATTGAGGTTAAAAACCGGTTATCCATAATTTCCAAGTAAAACTAACATTTCTAATGCACATCAATAAATTTATCAGATCAATATGTCTTTTCAGATTTACTAATCCACTTTCAGGGACAATTCTTGTCATTTTCCAACATAAGGGTAATTTCGTAATTTTACCTAATCGAAATATTCTCATAATTTCTCATATAAGTACCTTTAACATTTAACCTTTGATGATATAAAATATAAGTTACAAATCCAAGGCTGATTTCTTTATCACTTATCACAAACTTGTAATTTAATTATAACAATTCCTCAATCTTTTATATTAGTCATTCGATCCGTATTCAGTTATAGAATTTCTACCACATTCATATCGAGTGAATAAATTATTCAACTCCACAAAAGTGACCAACGTTATCTTATTCATGCATTTACCAATATCAACATGTTCCATAAAGCATAAAGAGGTAGTAAAATATTACCTCGATTTTCGTGCCATACTGATCGACCATTAATTTCCATTTGAATGCCCTCGATCTTGAAATCAACTTCCAATAATTCCTCAGATGCATATCAACAGAAATTACAAAAAAAAACGGAACTTAATTCCGAAAAACGAATCGAATTGGGTGATAAATCAGTCAAAAACAGCTTACCGAGTTCGAATTTGACGAAACAAACTTCAGATTCAGGACGTCAACCAAAATATAACTCTTAAATTTAATCTCACCAACTTGATTTCTAACTTCCATCTTTTTCTCATGAACACGGACCATCCACCGTACAAATACGACTTCAAATAATTTTCCTTTCCATAAAAATAAATTATTAGAATCTAATTAATAATTTGGGGACTCAATTTGCAAAATTAAAAACTTGAAGAGCCAATAATATTTAATTACTAACACCATGGACTAAATTATTCTTATTTAAACCATTATGTCATAATCATAATAATACGAAAGCTAAAAGACAAGATTAAGTTTTATTTTAACAAACTTGGATGACTAACCTAGTAATTTCGCCTTCCTCATTTTATCACATACTCAAACTGAAACCAATGGAATGCAAGAATACCTCCCCAGTATACCAATTTCCGATGGCTCAAAGCACCGACTCAAATGAGCTAATAATCGATCCTCGGCGATGCTGTTTGATACGTTGACTTTCAACAAAGGTTTTAGCCTCTCATCGGTTCAACAATCGCCGATTAATTGCATATCTAAAGCTTGTAACCATTGAAGAACCCTATCATCTCTATCGTTCTGTAGAAGCAACAAATCCACGTCATTTTCATCAACGAATATGTCCGTCAATCGTTCCGCGAGTCTGATTCAATTCCTTATCTCACCGTTTTGTCTCGTGCCTGATCCAGATCGAACGCCACACGAGGTCTGAACAACACCTTCCTTTCATTCTTTTGATATGTTTCTTGATCTCTTGAGCACAAGCTTCACCGTGCATGTAAACTTTCAAGATAACCTCTTGAGGTTATTGAGCAGATTCTCCTTTAGATTCATCTCCTTTCTTTGCATCTTCTTCAACCTTTTTCTGCTCCATGGTCCTGACAAAGATTAAAGAGATTTGACGAGGCTTATCTTGGGTCAACTATTAAAAATGTTCGTTACTGTTCCGGCTTACGCATGACTTCGGCACTGCTCGTGAAATCGACGAACTCGGCTCGGTGATTGCTTAACAGCTCGGACCCTCTCTCGACCACTAACTGAAGGTTCTTTTCGGTGTTTTTGTCGATGTTAACAGCCCATATTAGCTTCTTCCTGCATATAAAATTCTGCTTTGATGTCCTGTTGTGAAATCCGCTCACTTCCGCCGCATCCCCTAGTCGATATCGGTATAGCCCAGTAAAAATAGTGAGGTCAATCTCATATTCTTGTCTAACCTTGACTTGTGACAGTAGAACAGGTTCATCTTCAATGAAATCAATGCTGCCCAAACTCGAATCTTGATTCAGGTAGTAGAGAAGGATCCAAGTTAACCCCGATGAAGTTGTTCCTTATGAAGCTGCTGTACAGGCTGGAATTTTGAGTGGTGAGGGTAACGATAAGGTTCCAGACAATGTCATTATTAATCTAATCCACTCAACAACTTGTCCTCTTTTACCTACTCTATCCTCATCAATTTGTTTAATAATATAAAGATATGATAAAAATAATTATTTGCCAACTAACTTCATATCATTTCACATATTTAAACTTAAAGAAATCTAACCCCATATTGGGGTGTGACAGAACCATGAGAAGTTAAAGTTGTATCAGAAACCCTTATGAGTATATGTTCAAAGTATTATCATCGTTAGCAAATGCAATGCTGTTCTAGTTTCTTATAATTAGTTCATATAAACAATATATAATCAGATTTGCATAGAAAACCAAAAATACTTCAAACCTGATTACAGTTCCTTGCAAGTAGACTTATTAATATGAAATATCAATACCTGCTAACTAAAATCCATATTTAGCTATTTGGAAAGATGAAGTAACTAATTATACTTATGCAAGCACACATCAAATATATGCTTACAAAGAAATAGGTTTCAATTTACACAGCCTAAATGACACAATCCAATTTTAATTAATTAGTGTTAGCTCAGTATAACAGTAAAAGCAATAAACATAAATTTGCCTATCCTAAGATCTTAAGACCCAAAAAAACCCCTAGTTTCCAAAATTCAACTCCTCTAATCCCCAATTTTTTAATTCAAAAACGACCCAACAACCAAAGCCACTAAATTGCTAAGATCAAATTCTCTAATTAAATGAAAATAAGAAAATCTTATATAAAAAACCCAGATAATAAATTATACAAGAAATGAGATCAATTAAAAGGAAACAAAAACCTTTAACGAGTTTGATGACGAGCTTTTTGGCGGGTTGAAGTGGGATAGCCTTTTTGCGAGACAAAATAGCGGCGGCGGGAGCACGGGCATCGTCGGACTTGGAATCATAGTCGAGGGCCATAGACGAATGGTCCAAAACGACGTCGTTGTCGCCTTGGTTGTTGTGGTGGTTGTGAAGGCAGTTCTTATTCGGGTCGAGAGAGCAAGCCACGGCTTGGGACCTGGCTTTCTTCATCGGTGGCTGAAAGCGAGAAGAAGAAGAGGAGGATGAGGGGGAAGCAGCGGCGTTGGAGCTGAGAGAGCGTTTGGTTGGGGGGAGAGACATGAAAGTGATCAACAAAGCATTGTAACAATTTCCAGCTTCAAATATTTATTTAATTTACCTTCTTCTTTTTCTTTCTTTCTTCGCCCTCTTGATGTTTCTTTTTTTACGGTACAGGAAGAAGATATCGAGAAGGCAGCGAGTGGTTGATTGATTTCACAGGGAAAAAGAGAGAAGAACAAAAAAGAAGAAAAACAATCACCCTTTGCTCTGTGTCAATGTTTGATGGGTGCCTGCTGGGCTATTGTAGTTGGACCAATTGGGCCATTCGTAGTTGGAGTAATTGGTTTTTTAAGCTGGTCCAGTAACCATAGGTGGGTTGTGGATATTTTCGCATAATATCAATAAATCTATGATAAAATAATTATTTTGATCTTTATTTTTTAGATTATTTTAGTCACTGATATTTTATTTTAAGGCAAAAAGATCCCTCTATAAATCAGTTAGTTAATAAATGATTAATACTCCAAAATAGGAGCATTTTTATTCTAAAAGGAAATGTCGAGTGACAAAATGCTCAAAAAAATAAAGACTAAAGTAACTATTCAATCAATGTTAGGAGTCTTTTTGCTTTAAAATAAAATGTTGGAGCTAAAGCATTCGAGAGAATATCTGCAAAAATAATCATTTTGATAAACGTTTGAGCCAATGGCAAATCCACCCTTAGATCAAGGTAGCACGTGCCCACCTTGAACTCCGAATTTTCTTTGGTTAGTTACCTATTTTATTGAATGTGCCCACCTTAAAATTTTATTTGTGACAACCTTATACGAAAAATTTATATTATTAATATATGTGTGACTAACCTTAAAAGTATTTTTGAAACTGTCACTAATTTAAACTAAGGAGTCTATTAAGAATCTGTCACTAATTTTTTTCTTTTGGGTAAATATCTTTCATGATTTTATGATTTATAAAAGATAATTACCCTAAGATTTGTGATTATTTCAAATGAAAACATTTTTAAATTTGAATTTAGGTACCTTTCGAATACACAATTATTTAATTATGTATACCAGTCTAATCGATACTCGGTACGTCGAAACCGTTCCCCGTAGCTTCAAATCCGTAGTTCAAAGGCTTACGGGCAAGGATTGTTGCGTCTCTTGGATACATGAGAGCTCGTTTTCCTGTAGGAAAACGGAAGCAAATAATGTTCCTGGACTTATCTTTTAAAGACTTGGTGGAAACCGGCAGCTGAAGGGCCATATGGCACTGCCGTCACAGGCAGCGACTATAGTGGTGGTCCTGATGGCGGCGGCAGTGGTGTTGATCGTGTTTCCACGTTAACGAAGGACTTGTCTTTTGAAGACTTGGATGGGCTGATCTTGGAGGCGCCACCATTGTACGAGTTGAACTGGTTGTGGGCGGCCGAGTACTAGCTAGAATTCGCATTATATCCAGAGTTTTGTATTAGGTTAGATATGCTTAGGGTGGCAACGGGCCGGGTATTGGTTCCCCGTCCCTGTTTAAAAAACTCGTATATGTCTCTGTTTAAAAAATCACGAAGATTTAAACGGGGATCCCCATCGGGTAATCGGGGGAAATCGCGGGGAAACGGATATCCCCTTTTAGCATAAACGGTTATTTAAACGGGTATCGGGCCGGGTATCTAGCCAGGTATATATATATATATATATTTAAATTAAATATATAAATATTATATATATTTTTTAATTTAAATTAAATTTATTAATATTATATATATATATAATTATTATTATTATTTTTAATATTTATCGGGCCGGGTATCGGGCTGGGTAATCGGGGCGGGGATTACCAAACTCGTCCCCGTCCCCGTCCCCGTTTAGCATAAACGAATTTTCCCCGTCCCCGTCCCCGTCCCCGTTAAGCATAAACGGTTTTTCTCCATCCCGTTTAATTTAGTTTTCAGTTTTTCCCGTCGGATTCGGGTTTTTTTGCCATCCCCTAGATATGTTGGTGCTGGGGTTGTTGATAAGTGTGGCGGTCGGAGATCCCTCGACTCCACGGCATGCGTGAGCACACACTAGGTCTAAATTACAATATGCTCTTTTTCTTTTTACCCAAAGAAATTATATAAGATTAAAAAATATTCAATCCTATTTAAAAACTTTCATCGTGCTAGTTTGACTTATCTTAATATCTTTCCTCAATATTAAAGATAAGTGACGAATTTAAAAATAATATTTAAATTGGATAAATATATTAACAACATAAAATATGTGAATACAAATAAAATTTTGGTAAACATAATCAGTAAAATAGATAATTAAAATTAAAAAAAAAAGTCAAATTTCATACTCTATGAATGTTTAAATTTAATAAATTAACTGAGTCTATTCCCATATGTAATGGGGTGAGGGGAAGGTATGTTTAAATTTAATAAATTGAGATTTATTCAAAGAACATCAATATTTAATTATAAAAATAATCAATTTAATTTTTTTTTAAATCGATTTAAACTAAATCAAATTTAACTTAATATAAACATAATATGAACATACCTCCACGTAAGAATAGAAAAGTTTTGAATGAGGTATACCGTCTAAGCTAATCTATTTTAATAAAAAAAAATTGCCAAGAAAAAAATACGAACATATGTATAATGCTTTAACAAAACAAGTGTATATGTATGATAAATTTATTATAAAAAATAGTTAGTGGGCTAAAACTTGTCATTAAGCCTGAGGGTTAAAGGTGTTTAGGGCTGGGATAAAGCCTGATTTCAGAAAATATTTTAAGTTTAGGTTCATCCAATGTGTTTAAGTTTTTAAGGAAGCGTTGATATTCCTGAAGACTCGGATTCGAGTACCGTACATGTTAGGAGTTTGAGCGTTCGATATCAAGAGGGAGAGTTATCTTTGAATAGATATTGTCTTGTACTTACTCCATATTAATAAAAAAAATAAACTCCATAGCCAATAGCCAATAACAATTCTTGCTTTTCATTTCTTCCGATCGACTTATCTTATCATGATAACTTTTGTTACGATATTTCACAAACCAAAGTAGACCTATAGTTGGGTAGATGATTCTTTGGATAATATATTCTAATGTTATCTCGGTTTGAACAACTTCGTCCGTAAAATATACGAAAATTTATATAGAATTGAGATAGAACATTTATTCCTTGAGACAACGTCATAATGTTAAAAAAGAAAATCATGCATTGAACCTTCAATGATCAATCCCCTTTTCTTTATTCCATGGATCTTTGCCTTCCATTATTTAATGCCATAATATCTTTAACAAAAAAGCATATTTCTTTAGAAATCTTCTTTACGAGAATCTGTATCACTTATAGTCTTATAATATTGAAGTGATTGCTTTGGCCTTGAAGGGGAGTCGGATTCGCAAGTAGTCTTATCGTAGGTTTATAATCCTAGTTCGAGGCCATGGATATTTTGATTTTTTTTTTCAAAATTCTAAATCTCTTCAATAACTAAGAATGTTGGGCACATTTTAAGACTTGTGTGATTTAGTTTCTTTCGAGTTGTGTTTGTGCATTTGGATGGCTGGTGATTTGACTCCTTGGAGACTTAACTATTAGGCCATGGCTAGCCGCCTAAGTTGACCAAATTTACGACAGTTCAACTTTGCATGTAAGAAAAGGAATGAAGTTCTACCTCACTTGTGCATGCATGGCTTACTTGCACATAACTTAGACGTCGGTTTCACCCTAGAGTCAACTTAGCCACCACTTACATTTGAACCCAACTCGTCAAAAGGAAATTAATAAGAAAGGTAAACATTTTAGTATTCCATACACCTTGCCAAAGTCCATCGTAATCGGATTCAAAAATTTAAATGGAAGATGACAAGAATTGACGGGGCATTGATGAAGAGTCTTCTATGTCAACCGGATATGGCTGCCGACAGATGGACACTAATTTAGGCATGTGCTGTAATAGAAATTCGTAAAGCCTCTTCTTTTGACTGTTAACAGATTTCCCTGCCTGCGTGTAGATGAAATGGAAAGCCAGACCTGTTTCCTGGAAAAATCTAACAAGGATATTTCATTTTCTTTTTAGTAATGTCCACTTTAAGAACAAAAGATTGAAAAGAACCCTAACTTAAGATAAGCACGCTCATCTTTGTAATAAAAATTCAACGCGTTACGTATGCCATTCCTTATCCACTCCCCCAAATATTGCTTTTCAATCCGGTTTCTCTCTCTTAAAAGTGGAATTAATCCAATTCCTTCGTGTTGTTATGCGTAAAATATACTAAGATGTAATGAATTCAGTGGGTGCCGATATGCTCTAATTACTAGTTAAATAACATTTTATAATGATTAATTAGGGTGATAATTATCATTATGTTATAAAGTTTATTGAGCGATGAACTTATCAAGTGATTTCAGTGGTTAAGGGGAGTGTAGTTATTCTTAGAGGTTTTAGATTCGGGCAGCTATAATTACATGATATGTGTATATTGTCAATGAATATGAAAGATTATAAACATATACTATCTTGTAATCAAGTCCAGACTATTTCAAAAAATATATATATTATTGGGTAATTTTAATAGCAAAAGGGAACATTGTTCTCCCTATAAAACTCGAGTTCAAACAGTTGCGTTATAAGATGTTTGTTGTTAAGTTAAAAAAATTCTAAATATATATTATATTATAATAATTGTCTATTAAAAAATTTATCATTATATCATGTAATGGTTAATTCCCCTAATAATTATTAGGAATGTGTAACTAATTCTAGGTTCCATCATTTCAATTTATTAAGATTGACAAGTTAATTCATGTACTTTAATTTGTTAAAATTTAGTCCTCATATTTTATAAAAGGTAATAGGTTAATTTAATTGTTATAAACACGTGATTTTGAATTGCCAATTTTTAGGTCTCCATGGCTTCATTTATCATTATTGTCTAATTGGATTAACTATGCAACTTTCATAGGATATGAGAATCAAATCTTGAAAAATTAAAACATAAGGATCAACTTCTCAATTTTAATAAAATAGAGGGATGGAGTTCATAAATAATAAATTATTAGCCTCATGGTGCACTAGTGAATGCTATTGCTCTTACAAATTATCCAATTATATATTATATAACAAGACTAATACATTTGTCAAATGGAGGAAAGATTAGGGTATGACTAATTTCAAAATGGATTATATCCAAAGTATAAATTTTTGCTTGATAAATACAAAAATATAATTGATTGAATATATTTAAAGTA